CCTAGGTTTCTCTAAAAAGAATAGATTTAAGCTAATAAAGTAAACTCCAATAAAGAAAAGAGTGTCAATATTTTTATAGTTATATGTGAATGTCTGTCAGCTAAAAAGATATCATTTCATGCCGTCTTCTGCTTTGTAAATAACAATTTGCTTGAACAATTTGATGACAGACAACTCCAAATCTATCTCCCTTAAAACAGAGAGTGAGTACCAGTGTGCCCTCTTTGCGAGTCAACAAACTAAAAATCTGAGAGTTAATTTGTACTGCAATGATGCTTAGCAACAAATTACTTAGCAACATTCCTCATCTTATTTAGCATTTGCACATAGGGGTTGCTATGGCAGTTAGGTGCAATCCTGTTGGTTAGCGATTTTAAAGGACTCTAGGTGGCATCTGGTGTTATTCATTAATGAATTGATGCCTTATTCTCACAATTACAATATGTGTTACCAAACCTTTTTGCTATAAATTATTTCATTTTTATTGCATCGATAACAGACAGCAATTGGCATTATGGTTACGTCATTTGACACTATGTTGTCAGTGATGCATCAAAATAGCATAGAGGGCACACTGGTGAGTTCAAATTTTGATTAGGTAAAACAGTTTAATAACACAGGCCACAGGTACAGTATATAAAGAAAATTACAACCCCAAAAAAAAAGATAAAAATAAGGTATACAGGGATGTCATAAATGGCTACCCCATAAAAACAAATATTTATAATTATTTTCCTGTTCAAGATACTGAACAGAACATGAATTCAAAAAACATTGAACACACTAACATATGGTAATTAATAATAAAGAAAAAGTAGTAATTAAAGCCCTTTGATTTCAAGAACTTATCATACTTTACTTATGGGCATGTTTTCATATATAATATGATTATCACAAAATCAGTTCAAAAGTTAGGCAAAAAATGACCTTTTTCTTCAATATATATACATCAGTCTTTCAAAAAACTGTGAAAACCGTAAGGAAGGTTTTATTGTTATTAGTTACTGCCAATAACTTCCACAATTATATTGTTTAGATATTGTCTAAACACGACAAATGTAGCTTTGTTACCACAGAATCTAGACCACTTGGTATGAATTTCCCGGGATGGGAAGGGAGAAGGGTAAATATGGGTTCACGTCCCAATCACAGAGCAGAACTGCAAGAAAGGCTATCAAGAACCAACACATGCCATATATTACATGGGACCATCAACTTACAAAATTACAGGGTGCTGAAAATTTATACCCGGTAGTCCAATTTTTGCAGTAACACCACCATATTTGTCTAGTTTCAATATTTGAACAATACAATGGTATTCATTTGTTAATAACGACATTTTTATTTCTAGTACACTCTGAACACCATGTTGTTTCCTGCTTGGTGCAACAATTTCCAAATTTTTTGACCTTTTGCTATTTTTGAACCAGTGGCCTATCACTGGTAAATAAACTAAACATTTCCCTGTATGTGCGTAATGTTTTTACCCAAATAATGTCTCAATACATATTATTTTGATTTTTGTCTCTAAAATAAACAAATTTGAACTCGTGAATTAAAAAACATAAAATAAAAAAACAAAACAATTAGCGACTTAAAATATTATATAGTAGTCATGACAACACCGCTAGCACAATAATGTCACTATCTTACAGAACATAAACTAATTGTTTTAATTGTACAATAAATACTAAAACCATTCCACAAGGAAAATATCAGCATTACTTGTCCCAGAGGGTTCATAAAGCTGGTTTACAAGACAAACCACTATGTTTTGACATTAAAATTAAGATATTAATATAATAAAAGGATACACTGTATTTGCTATAAATGTATTAGAAGCAAAATTCCAATGAAAGTACAGGTACCATATTTGTTCTATTAGAAGCACAATTCCAATGAAAATCCATTTTACCATATTTGCTCTAATAGAAGCACAATTCCAATGAAAATACATTTACCATATTTGCTCTATTAAAAGCACAATTCCAATTAAATACATTTACCATATTTGTTTCAATAGAAGCGCATCTCCAATAGAAGTATATACACCATATTTGTTCTATTAGAAGCGCATCACCAATAGATGTGCACACAAACTATAAATTGCATTTATTGTATGCTGGACACTTATAAACTGACTTATTTTAGCCTTAGACACATTTATGTTAACACATGGGCTACTAATAGAACAAATACAGTATTTAAATAATTCAAAACAAAATAACTAGTTACTAGAGTTTGACTAAACAAATCTCACAAATGAGTATGACATTTACAATTTGAAATATATGATAATTATAAACTGGTGGTTATTATAAATATTTTGTATATACATATATTTTATATTTGATATGATACCGTCATGGTGTAAAATTGCTGGGTATGTTACCACATTCATGCTTAATAAAACAGCATGCGTAATTTAAACATTTAATATCATCTTTTGTACGATAGTTAAAGAAATGAGAGATCATCTAAGGCAGGTTTATTGAGATAATTTGTAATTAATGTAAAACGTAAGTGAAGATGGATGTCATTTTCATTAAACATCAAAATTGAAAATAAATGATAGCATAGTTTTTCAGCAACAGAAATTGAAAATGTGATTAGACAGATTTCCAATTTAAAAAGGGTTAGACAGATTTTCAGTTTCCAGTGTTCAGTTTTGATAGATTTTCAGTCTCCAGTGTTCAGTTTAGACAGATTTTCAGTCTCCAGTGTTCAGTTTAGACAGATTTTCAGTCTCCAGTGTTCAGTTTAGACAGATTTTCAGTTTCCAATGTTCAGTTTAGACAGATTTTCAGTTTCCAATGTTTAGTTTAGACAGATTTTCAAACAGTTCACACAGTTTCTGGTAATAAATAATTTGATGGCAATAAATTACAAATACCAATGAAAGTAAACTGACTTTAGTCTATTGGATGTTTTCAATACATATATAAGAGAATACAGATCAGTGTAGAGGTTAGTATGCATACACACTAGACACAAACTCCTTACACTGAATAGACTTGTATTATTGGGATTACAATGACTATCCATGACACATGTACTAAATTGAAAATAAATTATTGAAGAAAAATAGAAGAAATGTTGACAATAGGAAGTGTAGTTGAAACTAAGGTTATAGGCATCAATCCAGTAAATACTAGCATAAATTATATAGTTCAATCCAGCAGACGAGTTGATAGTAGTATCTATTGACTCATTGTTTGTCCATTACTTCATGTAATTGTTTTATCAGATGAACGGTAAATGAAAAACAGACAAAAGCGAATAATACTGGTCATCATGCCGGGAATATTTGGTATCTGAAAGCAAAAATATTTTAATGATTAGCAATGTTTGAATAATGAAATCAAAAAGTAGATCAGAGTAATATGTTGAAGTGACAGTATAAAAACGACTATTATCATATTTGCTCCATTTAAAGATCATCTTCAATAGAAGTCATTGTCAATGACATAGTCCCTGTTTGTATTGTGCAGTTTAAACTTGATTGGTCCAGTCATGTCGAATATTTGGATCCAGAATTGCATTTTCTGAAACAAAATGGCCACCAGTCAGCCATTTTGTACTCAATCCGAAAAATAAAATGCATCAAGGTAACATTATGTTCAACATATGTACAGAACAGAATCTGTCTATGCAAAACTAAGATCGGGTTCCGGAATACTGAAAATGGCTGCCATTCAGCAATCTTGAATCGAATCATAAAACAATTGCATATGCATATGTCCAATAAAATGCCAAATGTCTAATTTACTCAAGTGTGAGGTATAGGTGGATATGGATGAACACATGCATGCACAAAGGTCAATCCATTAGTATCCGTTTTCAAACTCTGAACATTGAACTAAATAGAGTATTTTGACAGTAAACTGAATATGGTATGAAGTATCTACTGCTTTACATGTTTGTTAACAGATTATTTTCAGAAAGGAGTTTATGCATGGTTACCATGGTTACCACATACGCACGATATTCACAGATATCCACTGTGTATTATGAATTTAATTACAGGTATACAGAAACAATGCTCAATGACCATATTTTATGAAACAGTCATACTTTTGAAAGGATGGTCGCTTAACCAAACATGAACCCGAAAATAGAAATGCCTCAAAAGTGGATGCAGGGTGCTTAGTCAAGCAAGTCAGATGAGAAAGGTATATTAAAATATTACTCATTTTATAAGACCTCTGTAATTTACATAAGAGTATGCATTAAAATGAGCAAATATGATGTGCATTTTGAACATACCAAACATGTTTTGTTCAAACTAATCAAATTGATTTAATTAAAGTTTTGAACAAGCCAAGTAACCACCATTGTATGATTGTTTTGAAATGGCATCCAGATGGAAAAAGGAAGGTGGGCAGACCTGAAACAACATGGAAGAGAACAGTGTAAAAAGGAAGAGAGTTGGGTGGATGGAAAACTTGTAATGAGATCAGGAGAAGCGCACAAGCACAAACACAAATGTTATGGGCTTATGTGGCAGGAGGCAGGAAGAGGACACATTTAGATGAGATAGGATGGGAGGAATTTGAACAAGAAGAGTATAGTATGAATTGGTACATGTAATTAACTCACCATGACATAGAGATCATCTAAAAGAAATCCATACAATGTCCACAATGATGCAGCAATAAACGTTGCCACTGACAACGGAAACGACATTGATCTTGTACTTTTACTGTTAATAACTTCTCTCTACAACAAAAACGTAATATTAAAAACAAGCCATTGTCAATGACACGTCCCCGTTCCGTTCATATTTGAGTGACATATACATTCAAAGCAGATCATGACCGAAATGCACCTGCATATGTACAACACATTGTGCTAAATCTGAACAAAATCCATCCATGCATGACTGAGATCCGGTTCTGGAATTGTGAAAATACGTGATTTTGATGCATTTTCGGCCTTAAAATGGCCATCATTCCACTATTGTTAAGCAGATCATGAAACAAATGCACATATCTATTTGTGACATGATGTACCATGTGTGTGTGAAGTTTGAACTTGATCAATCCAGACATGTCTTGGATACGGATCCAGAACTGAATTCTTTAACAAAATGGCCGCCAGTCGGCCATTTCGAACTTGATCCGAAAAAAAAAGACGTGCATCAAGGTCCTATTATGTTTAATGTATGTACCAAATTTGAACAAAATCCATCCATGCATAACTGAGATACGGGTCCGGAATGGTGAAAATGTGCGATTTCAATGCATTTTCGGCCTTAAAGCG